ATATAAGATTTGTTTTGTCACTCCCTTATAATTATGTATTTCGGGCAGTGTTATTAAAATCGGATCGACCTGGCCGGGTCGACTCGGGAACCGGTAAACTGGTCATATAATTGGTCTGGTTGAAGCAACGGACCGGCCATGCATCAGAACCGCTACGACTCGGTCCGACCTGGCCAGTTCTCATAAAAATCGATAACCCGATTGGTTAACCGGTGACCCGGCCCAGACCCAAAAAAAATAAAAAAAATTCCAATTTTTTTTAAAAAAAAGTCATAATGAACATATTTGAATATTTTTTTGCTTATTGACTTATATAAGTTACGTACTTTATTAAAACCGAACCGACCCGGCCGGGTCGACCCGTGAACTGGTAAACCGGTCATATAACCGGTCCGGTTCAAGCAACGAACCGACCATGCATCAGAACCGGTACGACCCGGTCCGACCCGGTCGGTTTTCATGAAAACCGGTGACCCGATCAGTTAACCAGTGACCCGGCCCGGTCCCAAAAAAATTCCAAATTTTTTAAATAAAAAAAATCATAATGGACATATTTAAATATTTTTATTTCTTATTAACTTACATAAGCTATGTACCTACAACACTAATATTATCTTAATTATGTACTATCAGAAAATTTCGATTTGATTTATAGTTAGAGATGTCATTTTCTGAACCTAAAGCCCAGTATCACGATCATTATATTTTTGTTTGATCCTTTATTGTATAATAATATGTGATTTATTCTTTTTTATATTAAAATATTTGAATTATTTGTCATTTTGCTTAGATATTTGATTGTGTTTATAATTTTGTAATATAAATTATAAAATTGCATATAATTACCGGGTCATGCGGTTGAACAGTAACCCACTGGTTGAACCAGTGACCCAGTACCTCGACCGGGTCAATGACCGGGCCGGTTTTAATAACATTGCTTACAACACTAATATTATCTTAATTATGTACTATGCAGAAAATTTTGAATTAATTTATAGTTAGAGATGTTGTTTTCTGAACCTAAAGCTCAGTATCATGATTATTATATTTTTGTTTGATCTTTTATTGGAGAATAATATGTTATTTATTATTTTTTATATTAAAATATTTGAAATTTTTATCATTTTTTTAGATATTTGAATATATTTATAATTTTTTAATATAAATTATAAAATTACATATAATTACCGGGTCATGCAGTTGAACCAGTGACCCACTGGTTGAACTAGTGACCCAGTACCTCGACCGGGTCAATGACTGAGCCGGTTTTAACAACATTTTCGGGAAGTACATAATTATAATATAAAAATTATTTTTTTTCTCTGCACGTCAGCCAACAAGTTTCTAAAAAGTGTCTGAAGAGAGAAAAAAATAATTTTAATATTATAATTATGTACTATCAGAAATATATAGTTATAACAGGAAACACAAGTATCATCTTGCAGGATCTAAAATTTGTCATGTCACCCTCTTATAATCATATACTTCGGAAAGTACATAATTATTATATTAAAGTTATTTTTTTTGCCTTCATGTCAACTTATAAGTTTCTAAAAAGTGTTTAAAGAGAGAGAAAAAATAATAACATAATATTATATACGGACCCCATATATTATCATATATGTCTAGAAAATAATTGTCTCGTATAATACGAGAGACATTAAACTCATGTATTTTTTTTTTTGTGTGTCGTTTTGTTTTGGTACTGAGAATGGATGGTCCAATTAATCTCACATACATATCACATGTAAAATGGATTCTTTTATGTTAAGAAAAATATGACATAATTATGTGGAGAATTATAATTATACTAAAATGAATTAATAATTATCATAAAAAGAAGAAAAAATATATTAAAATAAATAATTATAAAATTATAACTTTTAATTCATTTTTATATGATTATAATTTTTTTACATGATCATATTATTATTATTTTTTATATAAGAAGATCAATTTCCATAGCACATGTGAGTGTTAACGGTTCATAACCTGACAACATCAGACGCATTATTAATTACCCACCAGCATGCTTTTCAAGGTTTTTTATCTTGTGTGTTGTTGTTAACTGGGAAATTCCAAGAGCTCTGTATGAGGTTATAAAGTCCATAGAAAAATGTTGGCTTAGTCACATTTTGTACAGTTGTCGAACATGCAGCAATGTATGGGGTCGATGGTAGAGGAAAAGAGACAAATAATGTTGAGCTATGAAGGCAAAGAACAAGGGTCATTAATTGGTGCAGAGTTCTGTTTCACTCAGTGTAGTACTTCTACGCTATGGTTTCAAAGTTCAAACTCTAATAATGGTGCATTGCTTTGGATAAGTACGGACATAAAAGTCACTTGCTTCAAACTCTTCACAGCCACACACTGGGATTCCATTGACGTGGATGAATCTCCCCCAAGAGTACTATGGACAAGAATTGTATGCTCAATATATATATACATATAAGGAATATTTTTATTACTAAAAAAATTCACTACCAATTTATTATCTTCATAATTAGCATTGAATCAAAGAGAAAGAATCTTAAAAAATTTTTAAGGTGAGAGAAAATGCTAATCCAAGGTAGCGGAGTTATAGTGAATTTTTTTAATAATAAGAATATCTACCCTCATATATATATATATATATATATAAAAGGAAGACTCTGTTTACAAATTTTGTTTTACAAATTTTTGCAAATTACATTGTATACTCTCGGGAGAACATAATATAACCTAGTATTTTCCCGGGAGAACATAGTGTAGTTTGTAAGAGTTTGTAAATATAACCCTCCCTTATATATATAAGAGAAAAATATTTCTCAAACAACTTGAGATATATTTATTTTCGTCTACCTCAAAACTACGTCATTTTTTTTATTTATTTCTTTATATTAATTGATTCACCTTTGAATAGTTATGATTCCATTTCTCTCTCTCTCTTCCTTTATGACTTTATGATGCATCTTTGTACAATTATGATTTAGTAGCCAGTGATAAAATTATCTCAAACAACTTGAGAAACGATAAGTTATATATATATATATATATATATATATATATATATATATATATAGCAAAATGATTTCTGCAGCTGTTGTACTTACAGCAAGTAAGGATCTGCGTCTGGATCCTAGGATACGGCAACGGATCCTAAGTTTTTTTTTTTTTTTAAAGCTGTGGGACCCACTTTTCTGTGTCAGCTGTAGATAACACTATCTACAGCTGCTGCAGAAATGTTAAGCCCTATATATATATATGAGGTAGGATCCTTTGACACCAGTGTCAAATTTGAAATTTGACACCTCTGAGAGCCGTTAGATCAAAAAAGACCAACGACTCTGATTTGTAAGCATGTGACACCATTGATCTTTTTTGATCTAATGGCTATCAGATGAGGTGTCAAATTTCAAATTTGACATCGGTGTCAAAAAATCTTACATACATATATATATATATATATATATGATCCTTTGACATCAGTGTCAAATTTAAAGTTTGACACCTCATCTGAGAGTCGTTAGATCAAAAAAAAATCAACGACTCTGATTTGTAAGCATGTGACACCATTAATCTTTTTTTATCTAACGACTCTTCGTTTTGAGATTAAAAAAAAATATTAGTCTTTATATTGATGGTAGTAAGTGGATCTCTAATATTAGTCTTTAATCGTTTCTTTTGAGACGTAGTAAAAAGATCAATGGTGTCACATGCTAATGACTCTGAGATGAGGTGTCAAAATTAAAATTTGACACCGGTGTCAAAAGATCCTACCTCAATATATTAACATCTTTTTAAATCACAATATAATGCAAAATTGTCAGATAAATAAGAAAAAATATGAAGCGCCCACCGTGGGGCTCGAACCCACGACCACAAGGTTAAGAGCCTTGCGCTCTACCAACTGAGCTAGACGGGCTGCTTAACAGTCTGAGTATAATAACGTATACAATCACAGAAGAGTTCACTTGTAATGTTCCTATAGAAGCCCAAATCCAAACCGGTGCTTTTTTTTTTTTTTTTTTTTTTTTTTCCGCTTGATGTGTAACCCCTTAAACCTTTGTATGAATTTTATCGTTTGAGATTGATATCATTTTTCCTGAAAGATATATTTATAATAAAACAAAGGCAATTACTGCCATTTGTTAAAATAAACCGAACGCCTAATTAAACAAAAGAGAGTACAATATAGAAATATACTTGATGTCACGGATTTGATTTCTATCGTCTACTCTTTTCCTTCTCCTTTTTTTTTTTTTAAGTGCCTACTAAATAAAATACAATTACCTGAATATCTTCAAAAGCTCTAGTGGCGTTATCTATCACTACGAAAAAGTAGCACACTAGTAGAATACTAGCATAAGGAGGGGTTGGGGTGGAGTTGAGCGTAATTCTACAAGCACGTACAACAACAAAAATTTATACATCGGTGGGAATTAAATATATAACATAATATAAATTATCAAAAAAATTCATCACACTAATCTCAGTGGCTTCAAGCATATACAACATTAGAATCAAAATATTAACACCAATTTATGCATTGCACAAATGCGAGACCATTGAACTATGATGTCACTTTGCTATTAGGCATACTTTTATTATCAACTAGCTGGCTAAAGGTTTGATTCATAACCTTCAAGAATGTGGATTCAAACTCCGCTGGCCAAATGTGAAAACTTTGTTAATAAATGATATATAATACCTCCTAAAAAATTCTCAAACTTAAACTTCTTGAACCCCAGTAAGATACCGATATCTAATCGCACTTAAACTTTCAGTTACAAAAAAAAAAAAAAAAAACAGCGAGTGTGGTGATTTTGAGCGTAACAAAAATAATCGGTGTTTATAATGTTTGTGCTAAGTTTGAAGAATATGTGGTGTATCTCCTTCCCATTATAAACACACCAAAATGAATCCCAATAGCAGTTTCAAATGAACAAACTTTTTTTAATAACGAACTGAATATAATTGCAATACTTCAATATTTTAACATCATGAGTATTCATGTCTCACCAATAACACAATATCTATCGCTTAAATTATTTGGGGAGCTAAACTTGCTGATCTATATCCTCCATAAACAATTCAAGAAGACTAGTTAGGACCTATTTTATCTACAGTTCTACACTTGTTATAAGGCAGAAGTAGAATAAGCTCACATAACCAATCTTTGCTTTTTTACCTTGCTCTATGATCATTTCTCTTTTCATTATTCATCATATTTTTCCATTTCTTCTTTGCTTTGGGTATAGAAATCTTGATAGTGACTGCAGTCTGAGCTATTAGTTTCACACCTCAAGAAACAATACCTTTTTATTCCTCAATGGAAGTATTGTTTCTACTGCTGCCAACCCAATACTGTTTCACAGCAACCAATATCTTCTCAGGCACAAGTGGACCATCCTCATGATCCATCATTTTGGCATCCCATCTCATTCCACCAACAATTTTCTTAACCTTGTTGAGAACATCAACTTCATCCCGGATGATAACTGCTCCTTCTGGCCGTAGGATGCGATCCATCTCTAGAAGGATGTCTTCCAGGTTGCACCTGTTAATCAAATCAGCTTATTAAGGGTTGGTTTGGATGGTAGAATTACAACTACAATTAGGAATTTTAATTTCAATTCTAATTCTATTAGAGTTGGAAGATTTTAACTTTAGTTTTTGATACTTGGAATTATAATTCTTAAGAGTCTAAACTAGGAATTGAATATAACCTGATTATTTTTCAGTTCAATGAAATTGGACTCATTGAAATTCCAATTCTAATGTATACAAGAAATGACACCTAAGAAAAATGGCACAAAATTTAGTGTGTTAAGCGAGGGATAGTCTTAAGTTAATTGAGACTGTTATAAATTAATTATAATATAAAAAAAAACTTCAGTTTAGAGTATGGTTGGGATGGAAGCTTTAAATAAAGGGTTTGTTAACATGTGGTCTTACCGGTGTACGTTAAGGAATAAAAAACATTTATTACTCAAATTACTTAAAATGAAAGCATTAAATGCTTTTTAGACTTTCAAGATATTAAATGCTTGTTCTTTTAATTTCATGACTTTTTTTTTTTCCTGGATAAGGCCTCAGACCAACCCCAACTAGTTTGGTTAGAGGTGATGTTGATGTTGTAAGGCCTAAGACCCATCATGTGGACCTGGGACTCGTGGGGATTGGACCAAGCTACACTCACTGCATGTCCTCAGCTCCTACCAACTGAGCTCCTAACACAGAACATTAGTTTCTATTTTTGATTCCTTAAGCTGTACCTTAAGGACACAAGTTAACAAAATCCCCAACATAAAATGAAAAAACTTGTAGTATGAACTACGAAGTAGGTGGATGCATAAAAAGAATCACTGATCACAAAAGATCATATTTAGCTTCGAGATACATTAAGATTATTATTTCCACTTTCAAGCCTCCAACTTCTATCTTAACATTTTACCAACTATTTAGACGCTTCCTCATAGCCCTCCTATTAAGAAACCACTGTATTACAGTTACTGTTGCAAGACCTCAAAGAAAAACTGAAGAACTAACCAACAACAAACGGAACTTGAGCTTGTTTGATTTGCCAAGAAAATTAGAATCTGAGACAACAGAGGTACCATGTTTCTAGTTGTTTCTACTTTCCACAAAGATAATCTTAGTGAGAAGGATCAATTATTCCAAAAGTTTAAGCCGATAAATGATTTTACATCTTACACGCTTTCTAATGAAAGAATCCTTTTGAGTTTAAAGCGTAGATAATGCTTAGGCCCATCCTACTTTATGTTGAAATTCAAATTTTATTTAGAAGAATAAGGGCATCAAACTTCCAACCACTTGGCAAAAGGGGATCTAATACCATGTTGACAACCAACTATCCCAAAACCTTAAGTTGTTAAATGAAGGCCCATGAATAGTTTTCTGTCTTATACTTGGAATGCACAAACTATGACTTGTGCAGTATGGAAGAAGAGGAAGAAACTTACTTGTCCTGGTACAAGCTAAATAAACCATTAGCATGAATGAGATCATATGTCCTTGGGTATGTAGAAAAGCCTTCACACCTGAAGAAAGAAAAATAATGTCATCGCAATTTTATAGTACAAAATTTTCTTTCTCCAACAGGTATACAAGGAACTTTAATTGCTTGTTGGATTATCTTTATCAGTGAAGGAAACAATCTGCAGTACCGAAGCACTCATCCATGACTACTTGCTTAACTTAAGTCCATAGGAAATATTATTTACAATTATTGAAAACGATTGGTGAATAACCAACATCAGCAACAGTTAACACCCCCAGTCTAATAAACAATTCCAATGTCTTTTAATAAATAGACATAGAACTTGGAAAAGAAAAAATAGGCTATCTAAACAAATATATAGGAAGCTTATTTTTCATTACAGCATTCATAAATGAATGATAAACATAAAGAAACCTTGTAAGGAAAGTTAAATTAGAAGACTTTTACTAAATTTAAAAGAACTTTAGAAACTTACCAGTCATGATAAATGCCAATTAGACCTCTTTCATAGACAACACCTAAAGTGTTCTTAGCAATCGTGGGCACAACATTCATCACCCAAGATTTTTGTGATTCAAGTGCAGCTCCAAATCCTCCCAGGCCTGCATTCATGTCCATCAAATTGCGATATCTAGTTGTGCCAATTAATTTATTTATTCTTTTGTAAGCACTAACATGCTTTTTCCATAATTTTTTGTCCTCTTGATAGGATTCAGTTGTAACCCCTGGAATAATGCCGTTAGCTATTCGAGGAGGGACTGCAAAAAGCCTAGCTGGAAACTTCTTCAATTCCCCACCAGCAACTTCACTTTTGCTGGTTACCTCAGGCAAGGAGGTTTTACAGACCTCCATTTTTTTGTACCTATCATACATTATACATAAACATCCCACCCCAAGCCAAAATTAAAAAAATAAAAAATAAATCAGGATGGAAACAAGAAAAATATTTAATACATACCCACACGCACAGAAACATCGTACAAATATATCAAACATTTGAAAGCATAAAGAATGAAATCCTACATAATAGTGATATCTTTTAGAGAAATATAATATGCATAAGGTAACAAACTAAAAAAGGGCCGTGCATCCTCCACGCTTCGAACCCATAAAAAATAGGGTCTTGCGTGAAGGGGGGTATTAAGAGATATAATAAGATCATTCACGTGCCTCCTCCTAATGGCTGAAGCATTTGGTAGAGTTGGTTGCGTGACAAGGTATTAGAGCCTCCATGAACAAATGAACACGAGTCCGATCCTCACACACCCTTCTAATTCTATTAATACATTATTAAATAGTATGGAATTTCTTAGCACAGGCAAGTAAATCCATGCATTGTAGACACAGTTCAAGCCCAATGGTCTCGCGTAAGGGGATGTGTTAGAGAAATATAATATAAAACCATTAATGTGACCAATGTTGTTAAAACGTAGAGTCTACGCTGAAACGGTAGGGGGAAACAAAAACGTAAAATCGAGAAACGTAAACGAAACGTAAGAGTTTACTACGTATCAAAAAAATAAAATATATCCAACATATATATAATCAAAACACACCAATACATAAGTCATCACAAATTTAAGTGCAAATACTAAAGGAAATAAAAATTAAGTTCAAACTCAGTCATCATAATACATATTGAAATCAAAACACCTAAGTAATAAAATCATAAAAGATATCACCATGCACTCCGTTTCATTGTCAACAATAAAATTGAAATCTTCCTATTTCTTTACTGGAATAAAATTCTCAGTGGTTACATAAAGTGAAACGTACGTGTAAATTAAATTTGGATCATTTTTAATAATAAAACATTGTTTAGATTTTAATTAAAATTAAATACTTCTACTTTCAACAATATTTATAAAAATTAAATACGGTCAAATATTTCTACTTTTAATAATATCAAATACTTTAGGAAAATTCAATATTTCTTTTATTATAAATAAAAAACTAGATCTGTATTAAAATTAAAAAATAAAAATTAAAAAATTATAAAAATTCAATATTCAACTATATCAGTATGAAAGGATGGTGGCGTGTTAGATTTGAAGAGGATATATCACCAATCTGTTTAAAAAAACTCGGTAGTCGGTACTGTACGAAAGCATAAAAGGAGCAAAGAAATATGAGCAGCAATTTTATAGGAGAACTGAAGAAGCAAGAAGCAAGGATGAAGAAGTATGTGCTCTCAAGAAGAAGAATACCTCGCTTTTATAAGATAACTGAAGAAGCAGCGATTTTTTTTTTGTTTTTTGGGGGAAGAAGCAAGTAAGCAGCAGCAACGCGTACGAACTCAGCAACAGCAACGCCTACGCGATGGTAGGGTTTTTTTTTTAAGTTGGGGGATGACGTGATTTGACAAAAATACCCCTTTTTTTTAAAAAAAAAAAACTGAGTCAACTCGGTAAACTCGCCGAGTCAACCGAGTTTACCGAGTTGACTCGCCGTTTCAACAGTTTCAACCCAAAATCCGTTTCAACTCCCGTTTTGACACGTTTTTGGTCATAAAAACGTAAAAACGGTACGTTTCTACGTTTCGACACTACGTTTTAACAACACTGAATGTGACCTTCACCTAACAGATTTAGCTTTTGGATTGAATTATTGGATGACAAAACCAACACGTTAAAAATGAAATCCTACATATCTTCAAGGATCAAGCTAATATAATACTTCATAATACCCACAATCTTCGGGGATAAAGTAGAAAATTGATTTTCTTCCTTTTACTTCCAAGTTCCCAAAAAAATATTTCTAAAAACAAAAAGAGAGAATATTCTAGGTAGTACTGTACTGTTTATTGATTTCTCCTGTTGTGAGAAAATCCAAATATACTGAAGTTAACTAAAGAAGTTGAACTGTCATATTATCATTTTCCTTGCATTATTATTTTATGCCCCACCATGCAGTCATGTTCTCGATTAAGCCTAGATCATTCCCTGTAAAACTTGCTAAATTTTGGAGCATGCAGTGAAGTTATTCATGATCACATAATTATTGAAAAATGCAAATAACAAATAAAAAGAACCATAGGAACAAAGTATCATGTGTACTTATTCACATTCCTACAACTATATATAAGATTATAAGTATAATGGTCATGATACCTGAATGAAGAGCATAAAGATGAGCAGGACTTACCATACATCATCAGCATCATCTAAATCACATAAATTGGGAGACTTTCTTTGACAGGATTTAGCATTTATTTTCTTCCTCCAAATAGCAATATCACCCTTTTCATACTTCTTTTCCCAACAAAGACTTTCAGCTAACTCCTCAATTTTTCTCTGCTCTGCCTTGAGATCCTCCTTAGATCGCTGCCATGTTTGATAGTATGTTTTCCAATTAATGGGAGGGCCAGATAAAATCCAGTATCCACCAGGCCTCAGGACTCGATCAACTTCCATTAGATACATGCCCTCTGCATTCAATTAATGGGTGAAAAGTCAACATGTTAATTCCTTTAAAAAGAATGTTTCATTCAGATTTATAAAAAAATTCCTTTCCCCTTTAGCTTATCCATCCACTGCTAGATGCCATACATTTCTTGATCTAATGCCTTCGAAGCAATATGTAAATACAAAACCTATTAACAGCTGAAGATCTTAGTAACATGAAAGCACTTGAAAGGAAATGGATTGCCAACAACTAATGTAGATTTAACCATCTGGGTTAGAGACGAGAATGCTATAATGAACTCACCAATAAACTACGTTTTTTCCCTTCATAACCTTTGGCAAGCAATTGCAATGACATACTGGACAAATGTATATCAAATATGCTAGCATTTTCATAATTTTGTTTGGAAGTTCAGGCGTATCATCATCTACATAAGAAAAAGCTGATAACACTGTATTCTTGATCAATCTTATTGATTGTCCAATTTAGCACTAACCATTTGAAGTCCAAGGAATTAGACATCGAGAACACTGGGCCATATCGAAGGCTCTTGAAGGGTATGGAAGATGAATGGTGCCAAGAACACCAATAACAGCAGGTACCCCTCGTTCTAGTGCAAACTGAACTTGTGCTTCGTGGTTGTCCTTTGGAGCAAAGGACATAGGCAGCACATTTCTCTTTAGCAAGTAGGCTCCCCAGCTTGCAACCTGCATAATTGTTCATGTTTATATTGGTAAAGCAATCACGATCCAATTGAAAGGTACCTACTAAAAACAAGTAAACTGTGCCACCAAGCATATTGAACAAAGAAATGGCATTTGATTTTGAGTATACTTAAAATACACATAAAAATTAAGAAATTCCAGATGCAATAGACAAAAAAAAAATATTATACACATAAGTTGTCAACATGGGATTCCCAAGCAGTAGCCATCAAAAGTAAAGGATTACAACTTGAATTGAAAATATCCACATATAACAGGAAAAGTACAGGTGACCCTATAGCTAAGTATTCTGAACCCAATCTGAAATCCTTAAGTGGCAGTTTTTTTTTTTTTTTTTTTGGTAACTGATCCTAATTACCTCTTTGAGGCGAATCAGAACCCCCCGGTATCCCCACGGGTTCGACTCTTTGAGCCGCCTATGAGACTAATCCAGAGTTCGGGTGCGAGTCCAAAGATTACGGTACTTATGCCCCTCCCTAGATGGTGTTGGTGGGATTCAAACCGAGATCCTCTCCCACCACTCAGTCCCCATGCTACCAACTGAGCCACCACACTTGGGTTTTGTGTACTGTATGAGGTTGTTCAATTCTATAATAAAGAAACACAGTCATGCACATGCTCTTCGACATGTTTTTAACGTAAATAAGCAGACATTATTATAACAGGTCAAAATTGATGCAGAAAAAGAGGAAACAAAAGTGGAATAAGATCAAAGGAAAAGGAAAGAAACTGAGCTAGATAACAAGATTAAGCATTTATTATAGACCAGGCTCCCCTAAAGTGAATATGTCTTTAAAATGAGCAAGAGAGAGTGTATCCACCCTCGATTTAATTTAAAGTGCACTGTGATCTTTACCCACAAAAATTTAAGCGTGGAGATACCCCTACTTGCTCACTTTAGAGACAAGCTCACAATATAGGAGCTTTTTCCATTTATTATATAGTCTTAACTAAAGAAAAAGAGCATACAATCAGAAAGATTATTTAAACATTAAAACGTACTCCACAACCAGTGTCCAGTGCTGTTCTGACAGAACCATCTGCAATTGGGATAACTGATGCAAGTTCATCAATATATGCATCTGCCCCTTGAGGGAACATGGTCCCTCCACCTGGAAATTTAAATACATTTCCCTGGAATTGCACCCAATTTTGAATAGCCTTCTCCACTGTCAGGCTCTTGTGAGGAACATTAGCATAGTAGACATAATCACGGCTTTTAGGCCAAGGGAAAGGAGTCATGTACCCTTTGGGAGCCGGAATGAGGCAGTGTAATTTTTCCTCTTTAGGTGGACAATGCCTTTCCCTGTAGATCATATTTTCTCTTGGGAATGTCATGGCTCGGTCTTGCTCTTGGCAAGGTGTATAATCAGTATGTTTGACATCACATGGCTTGAACACTTTAGCTTTTGGTTCAGAAGGTTCAAAAATCTCTACATCATTATGATGGGATTCGAAACTCAAATTAGGTAAAATATTGCAGTCTGTCATCAGCTTATTTACTTTCAATGCAAGGTTATCTCCCTTCCCAGTCCCACTTCTTTGCCATGCTCCCAAAAGATAAAAGCAACAGCATAGACCAAGCACAGCAAATATTGACAACGGCCTTCGACCTCTGTGGCCTGATGCATTATTTTTAGAAGCCATTACTTGGCTGGCAGTATTCTCTCAAACCTATGCCAATAAGCACTGAAATTAGTGATTGATAAGTTATAGTAGACCATCACAAATCAAGCAAACTACCAAATTTGAACTAATAATTATCTAAGCACAAAGTATTTAAATTTTAACAAAATAAAGGTACTGATGTAGACATCATGTTTGATTGAGAATGAAGCTAACAAAGAAATACACAGCTTCTGTGTATCTCAATTAACCTAATAACGGTATTTTTTGTCCCCAATTATTTGCTGTTGAACAACATATTTATGTCATATTTGTTACAGTTTGACTTGAAAAAACCTGATTTGGAATTTATAGATTTTAGCCATTTGCATCCGACTCAAACTTCCTTCTTGCATGCGTGCCAGTCTCACATACTACAATAAGAGGTATAAGTTGATTGGTAGCATATTTGACCGAGAGGGTGATTTTCTAACCTAATACAGATCCCATACTACCCCTAAAGACTGAATATCCATAATCCAAGCTTAACTCCCATTTAATCATACTTACATCACCACTTTGTTTTATTTTCTTTTCACAAGCATACAAAATATGTCAGGGGATCTATAATATGTGATTGCTAATGAGATTTTACTCTAAAAGAAAGAAAAACCTGAAAAATCGAATTTTGGGGGTCACTTTGTTATTGTCTGATCTTAATAGAAGCCACATAGTGACTTTAAAACAATATATTTTGTATTGCATAGCACAACAACCCCCTCAACCCCCAATCTCTCTTGTTTTTGCTGGATCAACAAAAGATCCACAATAGCACCCAACAAAGAGAAACCCCAAAAGTAAGCTTAACAAAGATTGAAACTTTACAATGCCATATGTAAGCAAAATCAATTAAAGAAGACCATAGCAGCATGGAAATACCCTTTGAGAAACAACCCAGAAAAGCATTCACAAAAATGAATTTTTACTCCATGAAGAGAAAAAGTTCAAGTGACTAACCTGCAAAAGAGGTCCTTTCTCCTTCTCTCCTTCTCTTCCACTTACTGATCTAAAATCTAAATCACTCAAAAGAGAGATAGAGTGTTAAAAGAGAGAGAGAGAGAGAGAGAGAGTAATATAGCATATAGTATAGCATGTGTTTGAGTGGAAGAAGTGGAACAAGAGATGGAAAGTGACTTCATGGTATGGGAGAGGAACAGAACACGACCTTTAACAGTTGGACTGCATCATTTCATTTTGGCTGTTTGACCCTTTCGTGGGATTTATCTACCGACAGGGTCATCAATAGTAAAAAAGCTAGCAAAACATGTTTTTTATTATTAAATAAAATTTTACTAAATAAGTTAAACTCGTTTTTTTAGGATAAAAGATTTTTCAGGTCAATGGAGATAAGTTATCTCGAATGAACTCAAAATGACATCGTTTTGAGACAAAAATTAAGATGTTTTTGTAATTATAATATAGGGTTCGCTTTTTCTGCAGTTATTGCAGATAAGTTATCTGCAGTAAACCCAATACGACATCGTTTTGGGACGAAAATTATGGTATTTTTGTAATTTTAATTTATTTCAGCATTATAATAGCCTTTATATTTATAATTTTTTAAGATTTCAATACCAAAACGACGTCGTTTTAGAAATAAATGCAGATATCTTATCTGCAGTAATTGCAGAAATATTTTTCCCTATAATATATTGCAAGGTTATTTTAGTCTTTATTATTATAATTTTTTAATCTTATAACTCAAAACGACATCGTTTTAAATTTATCGGAGATAAATTTATCTCCGGAACTGGAGAAATATTTTTTCCTTTTTTAAATGAGATCGATATAAGATAAAACTTTATGAGGCATGTTACGTTTACAACTTTTTTTGTTTACAACTCTTACAACCTCAACTATGTTCTTTCGGGAGAACCCTCTCCATTAATGTTCTCTCGGGAGAACATAATTGAAGTTATAAGAGTTGTAAACAAAAAAAGTTGTAAACGTAATCCCCAAACTTTATAATGAATAAGTATTAAAAAGAGAATGTGATACTTCTTCCCGTTGGAATAGTCATAATGGCATAATGCTTTGATAATTGGTACCCTCATTTGTCACGGCTTCAAGTTCATCCAAATTCTAAAGTTACTGGAATCTGGCTTGCAATGATGCCCCTAGGTAGGACAAAGTTATTAATGCTGAAACTTTAATGAACCAATTCAGGATATCTTATTAATTTACTTTCTTTTTAATAAGGATTTCCATTTAGTATGTTTGGTATATCATGATGTTACCATGATAGCCATTTTAGTGGACTTTTTTATTCTTTTACTCTTCATTAATTTAAAAATAATTATTTTGTCCATCACCCAAAATATTCTATCAATTTGTCTTATTTAATCAATTACAACACGAGGCGTAATAGATTAAACAGTCAAAAAATACTTTGACTGTTGACCCCATTATTTAATTGATTAAACCACTATTGTTTAATTGATTAAATAATGTCATAAACGTTTTTAAAAACATGGTATTTGGCAAATGGGATTATAATTGATACCCTAATTGATTATAATCAAACCCTAAGCCCCAAATTCGTGATTTTATCCAAAATCTTCCTCCAATCGTGCGGCGAGTTCACAAAGCAACATCAATCGCTCGTTCCTCTCACTTATTGGTATATATTCATCGATTTTTTTTAAATTTTTCTTCTTTTTTGTGATTTATGAACTCTAGTTTCATTCACTATTGTTTGGTTTGATTAGCTTGTGTGTTTTGCTTTGATTCTTCAGGTTGATGGTTGTTTAGTTTAGGTTTAGGGTTATGTATGTAGTTTAGGGTTTAGGTTTCATAGCTTTTTTTTGGTCAAATTTGATTTCTGATTTTTGTATATATATTTTTTTATTATGTTTGTTTATTATTTGCTGATAAATTATCATGTGTTATTGTAGGTTTCCATTGCTATCATGGCCAACGATCTTCAAAGAACACCGATGGCGAAAGACAGACCAAGCAATGCCAAGACGTTCTTTTTTTCAGGGCCACGGGAGCCTGAGACTGAGTTTGTGGAACTCCCATTTAGGTGTTTTCTTGATGATGATCCCTCACAGCATGCACAATTTATGACTGATCTTGCTAGTAGATCCATTTGTTAGTCGAAGTCATCGGATTTGGCATTCTTTATGTCGAAGGGATTTGACATAGTGACATTGTTGGAGGTGTCACATCTAAAAATGTTGGCTGAGATGTTGTGTCCTTATTCAGATATTATGGTGAAGGCCTTCTACCATAATCTTGGTTGTATACATGGTGAGCTGAAATCCCGCGTTTGCGGAAAGGATATACTGATGATCGCTCCGATATGGACGGAGTTATCAGGGTACGACTTTGATGCTCAGCGTACAATGAAGTATGATGCGGATAGTTATGCCCCTATTCCTGGATTTGTGAAGGATGATGTTGTGGAGGAGCCAGGAGGCGTGATATAAGGTGTGGGCATAATGGTATTTATAATGTGGGGTTGCTTATTGTTGATGCTCGTATCTTGCACTACATTATCACCCACATATTTGTTGAATGATGTATAAGGCCAAGCATAAGGGTGCACTCCTATTTGCTTTTCTGGTTCAGAGGATATTGGAGCATTTTGGTGTTCCCAAGGAAAATGAGTAACTGAAGACGCTCACAGGCTATAATGCCAAGTTTGGACAATGTCTATTGGAGCAGTGCAAGATCTCCAAGACTAGGGCGAGTGTGTGGCAGTTCTCAAGACAGGTTGAGGTTGAGGTCCCTGAGGTTGCCCCAAATGCACACATGGTTGAGGCTGAAGCGGATGATCATGCTGGCTTGGAGAAGATAGTTGAGCCTAAGGGTGGATTCACCTTTCATGATTTCATGAAAGACATCAATGCCACACTTAGGAGAATAACAAAGATGGAGCTTAAAAAGAAAAATAGGTGGAAAAGCCATATAGATAAGGGGAATGAAAGGTTTAAGTACATTCTGAGTCGATTTAAAGGCTTGGAGGATAGGCTTGGTCGTCTGGAGCTTGCACGAGGATAAGAGGATGAGGTTGGCAGCAAGTGATCATGAGGTGGGGGCTGATGTGTCTGATGAGGGGGAGAAAGAGACCGAGTTAGATGAGGGGGAATAGTAGATTTAAGGGTTTCTTTATGTTTGTAGTGCTGTTCTAGGATGTTTATGTATTTTTCATTTATTTTGTGGATTTTCTTTATGTGCCAAACTTTTGATGTAATGAAATGGATGTCTTTTTTTATGTTGTTGAAGTCTTAGCATATTAGTTTAGGTACTTAAAGAAGACCCATAAATGGGGTTTTCTAGCTCTAAAAGACCAACTTTTATCCTAAAAAATCAAGAAGACCCACAAATGAGTGCAACTAGTCTTAATATACCAGTACATATGAAATGAATCAAATTTAGGTATTTAAAAAGTTAAATAACATTTTGGTACGTCAAAACTAACTTTAAACTCACTTTTGGTACATTTATGAAATCGAAAATGCATGTAAGTCTTGTGTGACCACAAAGCCCTTCCCTAAGTCACATTTTCTAAGATCACGAGTGTAAAAACTCATTGGACAAAAAAAAAACCCCGTGGAAACAGAACCATATGTGGAATGGGGAAGGGTTTTGTGGTCTCACAAGACCTATGTGCAGTTTCATTTCCCTAAATGTACCAAAAGTGAGTTTAATGTTGGTTTTGACGTACGAAAATGTTATTTAGCTTCTTTAAATACCTAAACTCGATTCATTTCACATGTACTAGTATATTAGGACTAGTTGCATACATTTGTGGGTCTTCTTGACATTTTAGGTCAAAAGTTGCATACATTAACACAATACATTTAGACACGAATGTATTTGGACACAAATGAATGTACTATGTTTCTTCCCAAGTCAATTGGTCATACATAATACAAAACACAATACATAGCCCTTCCCAATACAATACAAAACACAATACAAAATAAGTTATTACAAACACAATACAAAGCACATGGTATTAAGCTTGTATCCTCATTGGACATGTAGGTATGTTATGATCAATTGCTCGCAATGCCTACATCTACCCTGACTGCTTGAGGGTTGAGACTCTACCTAATCCATCTCATTTTGTATCCTTGAAGATTTTGGTCTTCCTGGTGCCCGTACTAAATTTGCATTCGGGATAACAGTTGGGTCATCGCCTCGTGGAATCAACAACTCATTAGACAAATACCCCGGCACTGTGTCACGTGATCATATAAAAGGCTAAGCAACAACCGCCAATCTTCAAGCTTATCACTTGGAAGAACAACCACAAAGGCAAGTGGCAGCACATATCCATCTCCATCTTGTGACATCACAATCAAAAGAGTTCCTTTATGTTTTCCATATAGATTAGTGCCATCAATTTGAATTATAGGCTTACAGAATTTGAAGGCCTCAATGCACTAGTGAATTGTCCAAAAAATCTATGAAAGACGACTTTGTCGATATAAACTCGATGTTCGTCAAAACATTCATTCGTATCAAGCTTGAAGACAGAACCCACATTACACTGCGAATGCATACGATTTATCCCAGTCACAAAATAACTTCATAATGCCCTTCATTTTGCCTTCCAAGTTTTCCTGTAAGTTATATTGTATCCATACAGAAGTTGTATCATCTCTTGTATCAGAACTGGTTTTAAAGCTTATATTCCCTTAACATACCTATAAAAAACAAAACAAATTCTCAATATTGTCAATAAATATTTTTCACTAAATAAATAACATAAACAAACCATATGTAACTGCACATTATACAAAACATATTTATAATGGTTGCACATATAACCTCTGAATGCAGTTGTCTATGATCATGAGTAAGACCTTGGTTAAGGTAGGTGTGATCTTTACCCCACTTACTGACCACCCAAGTATTTCCATTATTCGGCATAATTTCCCTCACATAGCAGGGACAACCATCAACATGGTTTTGACACTTCACCACAAATCTATGCTCATCGCTTTTTGCAACTACGGCTATATGATAACCCTTTATACAATGTAATTTCACAACATGTTGCATTTTGAAGGAAACTCCTGATACACATATAATGGATCCCCTAATTGCCAACCACTGTGCAAGTCATCGTCACCATACAATATCTCCATCTCGTCATTAGGTGCGCCCAATTAATAAAGGAATGATGTAGGCTTTCATTCCAAAATGGCTCAGTCTCATTCCCTACATCTAAAGCATGATATTTTTGTCAGAAGCAACAATAACACAAATATG